AACAATACCAAAATCAATATGTAGTAATAATCCATAAATAATTCCTAGCAGTTACCATCCGTTTATTCTTCGTTCGGATATAACATAGGACACATAAATTCACTGACAATCGTCAGTTATAATAATCTCCCCGTCAAAAGGCATCATGTGAGCAAAAGATACAAGATGATGGTGACATATGTAACGAATAACTGGTCTGCAATATTGCTAATGCATTGTCATCAACAGATTTAGGGTCTAATTTAACACATATTAAGCCATACATCAACAGTTTAAAGGCTCAACTCATAAACACCAAAACACAATAGTCCCTAATATATTGTGTCCACAAGGGAAGTGCATCTCTGATTAGGATTATGCAATGAACTACTAAGCTGAATAATCTGTCAGTGTACTGAAGTGTTTGTGACACACATTTCTATATCAAGTCATGTTACTGAAGAGACTGTGGCCTTTTGGAGACTAATGTGTGTTAAGCAATCATAGTCCATATTTTTCTATATCTGTCACGTCAAAATAAAACGGTGAAACTGGCTAAAACTGAAATCTCACCTCCATCGTTCTGTAAGTTGAAATTTTGACAATTTTGCGAATGTTCACGGTTCACTTGTATGATGAGATTTCGATAAGTGTTTAACAAATTGCAAACTTATTATTCATTCCAAGAAACGATATACTTCCAATTGTGATGGGTGCATCGATAGAAGAATATGAAAGAGTCACTCCTCCATACTCGTTTATTCACGTTGATCAATTCGAATCACCAGGGAAACTGGCAGACTATTTGAAGTATTTGGACAAGAACGATACTGCATATAATGATTATTTTGCATGGCATGGTCATGGAATCATACATAATCGGGATTCACAACCTCAATGTGCAATGTGTCTGCTAGCTCATACACTTTGTGTTTTCCACTTGTATTAGATGCCAAGAGTTCTTGGCAGCTTGAAAATCTCGCATTAAATTTGGAAATTTGAATGAAATATAATAAACTAACAATCTTGAATTAGATTGAAATAAGGAGTCAATTGAAGCTAGAACTCTATGGAAAACCTTGAAGCACTGGATGACCGTTTCGTCCTAATATGGGGCTCTTCAGGAATGCGCATCCACGAATTCGCACTCCACGAGATTCGAACCCAGGACCTATCAGTTACCAGTGGAGTTCAACCAGTTCTGTTGTGAGATGTCAACTCACTGAAGAAAATGGTGTACGGTGGCGCAACTACGTGGACTGGTTGAAGTTAGACAATAACACCATTGCGTAATGGCTAAGTAGTCTAGTTGGCTAAGCGCTTGGCGCGAGACTGATAGATCCTGGGTTGGAATCTCGTGAGGCGAGGTCGTGGACACACACTGGTGAGGAGTCCCATACTAGGACGAAACGGCCGTCCAATGCTTCCACGTTTTCCATGGTAGTCTAGCTCCAATTAACTCATGAATTTGGCGAAACTTATCTAAATAGATATTCAAACTAACACCAAACATTACACCATCACCTCAATCTCATTGAATGTTTTACAGAAATATGAAACAGAGCTGAATATAATTACAGATTATGAAATAAATGAAGATTGTTAGTTTATTCTATTTCATTCAGTTTATAGAATGGAATGTGAAACCAATGAAAAAGCATTAAAGCGGAGGAATGTATTTGTAAAACAAAAAGAACTTCATCTTCTCAAAAAGTGCAAAACAACAATGAAATACAAAGAGTTCAAATGTGTGTACAGCTTGTGATTAGATAGATTATGTGGAACATACATAGTTTCATTCGTTTTGTATAATGAGCTAGTATTGTTTACATTGCAAATGAAAATCAATAATTCCCTGACCTACATATAGAAGAATGTGATAATTAGGAGTAGTTGAATTATAGTACAAATTAGGAATCCTAGAAATAAGTCAATTTACTCAAGAGGTACTAGATAAACACGAACGAATCAATTGTATTTGGAATTTGAAATTAAGCAATGACCAAGTACAAATGAATCATAAGTTCATATAAATACCACACAGCTTATATAAGAATCCAAATTTCTGTGATCAATTCTACCTCCTTAGGTTCATTGTTTTGTAGCGTGGCGTCGAGTTGAGGTTAACTATGAACACCGCTACCAAGAAACACGTGCCAAATAAATCAGAAGGCGAGGGTTGGACGTAACCAAATAGATCCATAAAATCCCCGAGAAGCCAAATACCAGAAGGCAATTAATGGACCAAGTCGAGTTATATTTGGCTGGGGATCTCGTGGCATCGAAAGGATACCGAGATCGTGCCAGGATACAATTAGTATGGACATATATCGACATCCAGTTACATACAGGTTAGTCGTGTTTCAGTCTAATCTACATGATAACTGTAAAATGCACAGAACAGATAAGTAGTCATAATTCACCACTGGAAAGTAAATGATTTTCCTGGAAATAGTGAAAATAACATCATATCAAGACGCTCTTTTACGCATTAATTAACCTGATATATTTGTGTGTTTCTGTTTAATTTCGATAAGTAATAGGGACTTGATGATATGCTAATCTAGAATTAATGAAAACACTCATATTGATGTGTATTTTAAACCTAAAGAATTCGATAGTTATTTCTTTTTGAAAGTGTAAAACATAATGTTCGGTAATTGCATCAAGCTAATTCCATCGTTTATGATGTCAAACATATTTCAGTTAATCGATGAAGATATGTACCACGTGCATCTGCTGTATACAGCCATTTTACTGTAATTCTAACTGTTATATCTTACTTCTGAAGAATAAAATTGCTATATGCAGCAAATACAGACTTATTTGTTTTGATGGAGGTAGGGGGGTTCATGGGATTTTTAGCACGACTGTAATAATATTCTCACTAAAGAGCTAAGTGAGTGCGTAGACCAATGTAAGGTACCATGCAGGGTGCCTTTGAGTTACTCGTGTTCCATTAGTGTCGGGAGAGACATTACTTGCTTATCATATGACATTTGAATAAGAAGCTATGGAATTAGACTCAGGGACGGTTAGGATATATAACGCGTGTCCATCCATCAGTTGCCGTGGCAACTCATGATGGCTAGAATAAGTTGTGAGAGGACTCGAGTCTGTAGACTCCTCAAGAAAATGACGAAGATATGCACCAAATCAACTTATGAAGAGCGCCTCCAATCACTTGACCTCTACCCATTAGAGTATAAACGTCTTAGAGGTGACCTTCTAATGGCTTACAGTATCCTTAACACTTCTGGACACTCTCAAACACCTACTTACGCTTAGTTCCAACACTAACCTAAGAGGTAACACCCAAAAACTGGAGACAACATAGCAGAACGGACTGTAGACGCAACTTCTACTCCTTAGGAGTTGTCAAATACTGGAATCCGCTGCCCGCCGAGCTAGTCCAAGCGACTACCCAGGAGTCCTTTAAGAGGCAAGTGGATCTATTCTTAAGGATTAAGGATAGTATCATACTATGATTTACCAATTTCTCTTTCCTCCTTTATTGTTAACATACCTAGGTTCCTGCCTGGAGGTTTTGGTGACCCTCTGCTACTAGACACGGAAGCCTGTTAAGCGAAAGCTCCTTCCATTCCGTCCACAACAATTTGAACACATGAACTAGGTGCTGAGAGGCTCGCTTATCACAAGTTTCTTGCAATGATTAAGTAGATAAGACAAAGTAGCATTAGATTCAAAAATTTATTCAACAACTTTCATTAAGAATCGAATATCAAACAAAGGTTTAAACCAAGTTCCCGTTTAAACGCATTGGTAATGTTAAGCTGCAGTTTTTGTTGTTTCTTTCCCAAACGAAAGAAGTCAAAAAATACTGGAAGTGGTTGTGAGACTAAAATGGACGTCTAGCATTCTTTTTATTATCTGCTGTTCGTTGGGTCTCGCGTAAACAGTTCCATAGGGCCATAGTTCCAAGGGCGAAACAGTTTTTAGGGTCTGTGAAGGCTCACTCCTGTTGCATTCTAAATGAAAAAAATAGTGATGAATTTATTCAGAAATGTGAAACAGATAAATAAACAAATTACATGTTTTTTAGCAAAGAATTTATGCACTTGTGATTTACCTTGAGTTCATGAATATTAGATAAGGTCAGCTACTATTACTTGCGCAAAGCATAACATGGGCTTAGTACCGTATTGCAATGCTTTTATTATTTTGCTCCCATTTAAGTATTCCCAAACATCTGCGTCTAGTTTATTAACAGGAAAACATACAAGCAGAGTTGGTGTCTGATGAACTAAAAGTCCCAGCTGTCAAAAAGATTCTAAACATTTGTCCACAGCCAGCTGCATCTAATTGAGACTGTAGT